TAACCCTCCACCACCCGGCACAGCGAAGCTAATTAGATTGTCACGCAGTGCACAAAACAACGCGTGTTGTCGTCCTCGCACTCGGCACCTCCGATTAGAACGGTTGGCTACGTACGGTGCGAAAGAAGTTCAACGTACATAACGACTAGGCGTGGGTTGTGATTTACTTTTTCAGTTCCACTTCCCCACTCGCTCGCCCACTCACTCACCCAGCCACTCATATCCACACTCGCCCATCCACTCGCTCGCTAAACGCAACCGCTCACCCACCAACTCACCCACCCGCTCACCCACCCGCTCACCCACCCGCTCACCCACCCGCTCACCCACCCGCTCACCCACCCGCTCACCCACCCGCTCACCCACCCGCTCACCCACCCGCTCACCCACCCGCTCACCCACCCGCTCACCCACCCGCTCACCGGTGAGTTGTAGTGCGATCCTCACTGCCTAATTTAGCAGCAATTGGAGATGAGCGACGTTTCGCTTGTAACTGCGTCAAGCATAATCGGGACACGGTCTGAGAAAGTCAGAGTAAGAATCCCAGGAAGTCGGGGCCTGAGTTAATTAATGGGCTAAATAATTAGTAACGATTATTTTGGGGGTTATTAGAGCCTGATAAAAGTGATGAATGTAAAATAATGACGGACTGGACCTATCAAACACAGCGCTCCGTCGTGAGAAGTGTGTGTGTGTGTCGTGTGTTTATGCGTCTGTGTGGTGCTGGCCACCCACCCTCTCTCGAGTACCGTGTCAGCCTTAATAGGGTGCTCGCTAACAGCACTTGCCCCAACAGTTTGTCGCCTATACGGGGATCTTTGTCTTTGTTTTAAGTATATATACCCGAATATGTACATATATTGTATACGTTTATATGTATCTATGCGAGTGCATACGATGCGCATTCATATAAGTGTGGATACGTGCGTTTGACATTATGCACGCGCGTATGCACGCACCTTTGTGTATGGGGAGCGGGAGTGTAGTGGTTAACTGATCGCGCTACTTACCCGGCCACCCGAGTTCGATTCCCGCTCACAGCCGAGATTGGTGAGGAATATATCTGAACGTGTCCTGGACTTCCCCTAGGTCGACTCCACCTTAATGATATCCAATGTAAGACATTGCCACTGGGGAGACAAAGGCGGTCGGGCTTGGTGCTGGCTACCCACCCCGTCGTGTGCCCTTCCGGCCTTCGTAGGTATTCGCTAACGGCACGAAAGCCTACGTGTTAAACTGAGTCTGTTAAAGACTTTACGGGGGATCTTTGTCTTTGTGTATACGTGTGGTTATATGTATTCATGTATATAGCTGTATGTGTGTGTGTGCGCTAGTGTGTCGTGCTGGTCTGCAGAAGTGCTGGATAACAGAACTTGCCTCAACAGTCTGTGCAAGCTACGAGGGTGATCTTTGTCTTTTGTGTGCACTTGGGAGCGGTGGAGCGGCGGTTAGCGCACTGCGTTCTGAGCCGGATGTTACGATACCCCTGCGTGTGGGCGCCGTGGTTTACAATCTTAAATCCTGGTTGATTGGATTGACTCGAGTCATCATCCCTCCTGGGGTCGATAAAGTGCCGAGAACTTGGTCGGACTCATCCCCGCCACGGGAATGTGGAATTTCCACCAGCAGCTCAGGGCTGTAAACGGAAGACAAGCAACAACGCTAACGCCCATCTGGGCAGAGAATCACTTTGTGAGTTGATGATAGCCCGGATTTCCCCCCCCCCAAGCTTTTTATCGGCTTCATCGTCACACTCCACGTGAGGCAAACGACTGGGTTCACCGATTATGGGGATCATCATCAGTTATTTTTTAGGCAGGAAGGGGGGGGGGGTCTAATAAAAAATAATATAAATATTGACTATTGTTCTAAGTTTAACACGTAGACTTTCGCGACCAATATTATTCATAATGCAGGTTTTTGGGTTCGGTCGCATAAGTATAAATGTGTTGGCGAGTAAATCCACAACATTTTCTCTCCAACACACCGGTGGGCTGAAGTAGTAGCTAATTGTCGCGTTATTTACATGACAAACCTCGCTGGCTGTGTCGGGTGGTGGAGGGTGATGACACATACGCGATCAAACTCAAAAACCTTTATAATAAATAATGTTATAAGCGTAGCCTCGACTATGTATGCGCCGAATCTACACCTTCCTAGTCCTTTCAAAGACATGGGTATATCATTTTCCTAAAGACGACCCGCTTGTGTTGCGATCGAAACGTCGTAGTTTTTTAAATTTTTTGTTATTTTCTTGGAACCTATCTACGTGCCTTTACCGAAAGATACAAGAATATACATTGGCATATAATTTATATCGGTCTCGCACACACCTGTGTGTGTGTGTGTAATGTGCATGTACATCCCTTTGGCACTCCACTGCTGTATTGGTTTACCGGGGCCGTTGCGATGTGTACTTTATTATAGAGCTCGTGGTAATCGCAAGGTTGTGAGAATGCCTTCATCCAGCAGTGGATTGGCAAAGGGCTGTACATGTACGCATATGTGCGCGAGTATATTTATGGAGAGTGTGGTAGTGGTGAGCGCACACTGTGCGTGTCTGTACACGTGTGTGTGTGTGTGCGGGGAGAGGTAGCGGAGCGGTTAGCGCTACGCTACGAACCAGGCGAACCGAGTTCGATTCCCGTTCACGGCCAACATCACCGGTGGAGATATACAAAACCGCGGATATCCGAACCGCGGATATCCAATCGGACAACTCGCTGTGTGTACTCAACGTAGACGCCGGTGATACAAAGGCTGCCGGGCCCTGATCATGTCCCAAACGGCCCCACTCGCTCACGTGCACACTTCATAAGCTGCTGGCTTCGCAGCACTTGGCCCCCGCCAGCTTTCTGTAGGCTACACGGAGGACCTTTGTCTGTTGTGTATATATAGTCAGCTCACACGCACCCCCCTCGTCTCGTAAGGTCAAACTCTCAGCCCCCTCCTCCACTTCACCCCCCTCCCCCCCCCCATTTTTTACCCCCCTTTTTTACCCGCCGTTTATACCCCCTCCCCCCCCCATTTTACCCCCTCTCCCCCCTTTTTACTCCCCCCCCCCCTTGTACCCCCACCCCTCCCACCCGATGCTGGAAACTGGCCGCGAGACGAGCACGTGGTGTGGAGACCAGCAGTGCACCACCTGCTCCTGGGGGGCCCTGTAGGGGGTAGCAATGGGGGGGGGGGGGGGGTGAGGAGGAAGGGAGGGTGAGGGTGCGTGGTGAGAATTTCGGTGTTGGGTGAGGAGGGTTGGGGACCATGAGACGCACAGAGACACGCTCGCACGCTCGGGCATTGCGTGGGTTAACCAACATAGCCATAAAATAGACAAAGTCTCCCGTATAGCCTTCAGCAGTTTGTTGGGGGCAAGTGCAGTTGGTTGTCCAACAAGACGCCCGGCCGCCTTTGCTTTCCCGCTGCGGATTGTGTGTACACCGCTTCGGGTACTCGTTTAAGGCTAAGTCGACCTAGGGGAGGCCCAGAACCGGCTCGGATATACCTTACTCTTCTCGGTCTTGTGCGGGATCGCCTGGTTTGCGCTAACCACTGCGCCACCGCTCCCCACATAGACACGCACAGACACGCATAGACTGTGTGTATTTGTGCGTATGTATGTGTGAGTGGCCTCAAAGTACACCTATCCTGGCACAAGCGCTGTTGCAAATGTGCAGTGTGTGTTTGTCTATGGAGAGCGGTGGTGCAGCGGTTAGCGCACTACGGTATTAACCCATAGGTCGGTTCCCACTTACAGCCAACATCGGTGACGAATATCTGAACCGGTCCTGGGCCGCATCTAGGTCGACTCAGCCTTAAAACGAGTACCTGGTGCGGTGTGTGTGTAAACAACACTTGCCTCCAACAGCCTGCTAAAGGCTTTACGGGGAATCATTGTTTTACGTGTGGTCTGGTTTTTAATGATTGCGTTCATGATGATGAACAATCAATCTTGGTGATGACGCTGATTAATCGATCACAATGATAAAAATAACCTCGACGACTTGATTATAATAATGATGATACGCTCAACTTCATGTCGACGATGCTACTGAGTCTTGATAGAAATGATGCTGATCGAGGCACGGTGATGATGAGTGATGATCATGCTGGAAAATGCCCCTCTAAACACGAGGTCCGCGACGGAACTCTGCTCCGCGATTTCCCGATGGATTCCTCCATCTCCTGGCCACGACACCTGTAGCCCGGACACCACGATATGAATAGAACTTGGGCCACAAGACAACCTACAATAATGCTCCCTTCGTCCCTCGCACATCATCACCCGTGCATTTCCTCTCTCGCTTCTCACTCCTCCGTCTCTCTGGGCGGGCAGGGTCGTATCGCTTGCAGCCGGACGCGATTGGTTTCGAATCCCGACTTGTACATCTGCCTCTGTTGTGCAGAGTCAGATTGTGAGTGAGTGCGTGGAGTTTGTACGTTCTCCTCCTGCCTGTTATTCAGTGTGAGCGAGTGACATTGTAAGTGAGATTGTGAGTGAGTGGAGTTTGTACGTTCTCACCCTGCCTGTCGTTCAGTGTGAGCGAGTGACATTGTAAGTGAGATTGCGAGTGAGTGGAGTTTGTACGTTCTCACCCTGCCTGTCGTTCAGAGTGTGAGCGAGTGACATTGTAAGTGAGATTGTGAGTGAGTGGAGTTTGTACGTTCTCACCCTGCCTGCTGTTCAGTGTGAGCGAGTGACATTGTAAGTGAGATTGTGAGTGAGTGAGTGGAGTTTGTACGTTCTCACCCTGCCTATTCAGAGTGCGAGTGAGTGACATTGTGAGCGAGTGGAGTCTGTTCTCTGCGCCCTCACAACGGTCATAAACCGCTATTGGGCCAAACATCAGCAACGCAAAAATCTCCAGCGAAGTTACTCAATTGCACCCAGAGACATCGGACCCCCCCCCCCCCCATTGTGTAAAAACTGACAGAAACCTCCTTACAATAAAAAAAAATGCCCCGAGACTCAATCTTTTACTCCCCCCCCCCAACCCCAACAGCGCCTGACAGTCTATTCCAAGATGCAAGATCACAGCAGGGAGCACCTCTCCACCGGCTCGAGGCTCCAGCTGGGCCAGACTTGCTCCACTCAAGTCGAACTCCAGGACCGAGGTCCGGGCGACTCGGACGGAGGGGCGGGGGAAGGAGGCGGGGGTGGCGACCGTGGTGGTGGTGGTGGTGGATGTCCCGCAGAAGAGCCGAGGGAGACGGAATATCTCACGCCGCGATGCGTGCTGCTCACCTATTTCCACGGAGACATCGCCAGCGTGGTCGACGAACACTTCAGCCGAGCGCTTAGCTCGAGCGGTGGCGGTGGCAGCAGCAGCAGCAGCGGCGGCAGCATCAGCAGCGGGGCGGGGAGTCCGCCCTTCAGTCCGCCGGCCGCCGCCGCCGCCGCCGCTGCTGGAGACGCCGCCGCTTCTTCGTCGGCCTCCAAGAGTCCGCAGGGCGGGTGGAAAGGTGAGGCGCCCCCCTGAGTGTTGTGAGCGTTGTGTGGTGTATTGTGCGTTTTATTCCCTTGTGTTGTCCGTGCGCTCCTCCTCATCTCTCCCCCTGCCGCTCACCTTGAGCTCCCCTTTGTTTCTTACCGTCCCCTGGTCCTTTCTCCTTCCCCCACATTATATCACACGGGGTTTTCTTTACGCACAACACACAAACACACGTACGATTCTAACGCATTTCGATTTAAAGCTTTCGTGACTGCAGGGATTCATCTTCTTGGTTCTTTCGGTAAAGTCACGTAGAAGGGAAATAATAAAATAATAAAAATAAACTTTTTATTTTACGTTTCATTTTGATTATTTCCCTTCTACGTGACTTTACCGAAAGAACCAAGAAGATTCTAACACAGTCGATATACGAGTCCAATATCACTTGATCGATCGATGTCAGCGTCACATCCCCCTACCTCTCCCCCCCCACCTCTCCCCCCCCACCTCTCCCCCCCACCTCTCTCCCCCCCCCACCTCTCCCCCCCACCTCTCCCCCCCCACCTCTCCCCCCCCCACCTCTCCCCCAACTCTCCCCCCCACCTCTCCCCTGTGGGTGCAAATCGTGAACGTAAATCCCTCTTGGTCAACCCACTGCTGGATGGAGGCCTGTCCATCCCGTGCCAGTTACGTGGGGCAGAGTTGACGATATTTCACCACGCTGGTTCGATGTGGGTTTGAGGGGGAGGCGGCTCTTGACCATTGATGTTAGCTGGGCCACCGAACTCAGCTGGTCGGATTCAGAGTGCGGTGCTGCTAACCACTGCGCCACCACTCCACTCCCACTGCCTCCCCCTCCCCCCATCATTGAGATTAGCATCGCCGTCAAGATTGATCATGGTTGATCAACATGATTAATCATTCTTATTAGCAAGACACATCATCATCATCGCCAATTTGTAAAATCATCGTGATCATCTTCCATTTTAATCGTTGTAACTATCGTCAAAAGGAGTCTTATCATTTCCAAGGCCATCATCATGAGCAGCAGCATACTTAATTGCATGTACAGCCGGTTTCTCCCGCTTGTAAAGCCAGGTTCATCGCGCAGCGCGCTAACCACTGCGCCACCGCTCCCCCAATGTATACAGCGCAGAGGCTATAATTAGAGCTGAGCTCATATCCATTTACGACTACGAGTCATGGGTGGAAATTCCACATTCCTATGGCCTGAGGAGGGGGTGGAAGGGGTGTTGGAGTGGAAAGGCAGGGGTGGGGTGAGGGGTTAGAGGGAGGGGAGTTGCGGGGAGATTGTCCCTCCAGAGAAAATCCCCCCACAAAGTGGTACTAATTTTATCGACCCCAAGGAGATGATAGGTCGGAATTTGACATTTTAAATAGTTATGACCGAAGTGGCGCGCTGCTGCTGCTGCTGCTGATTAAACTGTAACGGTTGTCAGCCCGAGTTACCCGCTAAGAGCCTTTACCGGGTCTCAAGACACTTCCTCAGGAGGGTGCTGTCACGAGCACGCTCTGTACGAGGAGGGGGGGGGGGGGGCACTATCAGAATCAGAATATTGATTTATACTGGAGGGGGAGGAATCCCATGAGCTATAAATCTCACGTCTTCACGGATGTCCAGTAAGGGCGTACGAGGTCAGAACGTTATAACAACAAACACAATCAGCAACAGACACGAAAAGGTAAACAAAATAACTTCTAAAAAAATATATTAATCCATCATTCATTAATTCAATCCATGGCCACCTCGCTCACAATGCCACTTGGGAGAGATGAGCCTCCCCAAGGTGGGATGCGTTCATGCCGGAAGTGGTTTGATCGAGAGAAAACGGCTCGCTGATGAGTCCCGTTGAGAGAAAACGGCTCGCTGATGGAGTACCGTTGATTACCGAAGCTATCTGATTTGAGTACGATTGATTGCTATATTCTACTCTTTGGTTCTTTCGGTAAAGTCACGTAGGTAGAAAAATAACAATAGTAACTTTAATAACGTGACTTTACCGAAATAAACAAAGAGTCACGAAAGCTTCAAATCAATATTGATTGTTATATTGTTACGTTCAAATAGCACGGCGCATTCGAAATCCACTGCTGGACGGTGAAGGCATGAAGGGACAGTGGACGGGATGGCGTGGGTCTCGCAGCGGGTTCAGAAATCGCTCGCCACTGAATTATTATTGTCAGTGGCCGGCAATTTAACTCGGTTGGGCCAAGTTCACGGAGCAATGTATCAACCACGACGTGATCGTGGTCGTGATTTTACGCTCGTACCTGTCATTATGATTGTAGTTGTGTACCCCATGTTGAACTTCTTTCGCACCATACGCAGCTAACCGTGCTAATCGGAGGTGCTAGGTGGTTCTGATTGTGGTTCTGATGTGGTCGTGAATGTGGTTGTGACTGGTGGTTGTGATTATTGTTCGCGGTTGTGATTGTGGCTGTGATTGTCTCTTGTTCTAATCGTGGTTGTGGCCGTGGGTAGTTATTGGTATCTACTTCTGCCAGCTCTTGTGAGCCTTCGAACTTTCTTCTTGCGGCTGCCCGGACGCATTTTCCCTCTTCTTGCTGCATCCACTGCTGCTTATATTTCTCCTGCTGCTGCTGCTGCTGTTTCTAGCACCCTTCCACTACGTTTGCTGCTGCTGACAATACCCCCTCCCCCCCCACCCCCCACAGAGGGCGCATCACCCATGAGCTCCCGAAACTTCCCCCCCTCCTTCTGGAGCGGGGCGCACGGCCCGGAGCTCCCGGCCTCTGCGGCCGCGGCGGCCGCAGCAGCGGCGGCGGCTGCGGCTGCGGCCGCCTTCGCCCAGCACGAGTCGCCCTCCCCTTATGGTGCCGGCGGCGGTCACCCTCACCACCACCCTCACCACCACCACCCTCATCACCACCCCCATCACCACCCCCACCACCACCATCACCACCCGGCGGGCCCTGCCGAGTCGGGCTGGCACTACCACCTGCCCGGCGGCGCCGGGGCTGGGGCAGCAGGAGCGGGGGCAGCCGGAGCCCCCTACGGGCGTACCCCGGGGACGGTCCACGACCTCTACTCGACCCACGCGCACTACGGCTCGCTGCTTGTCCCGGCAGCCGTCCGTGTCCCGCAGGGAGAGCTGGGAAAACACGAGTCGCCCGCCACGCAGCAGCAGCAGCAGCATCACCACCACCACCACCCGCACCACCACCACCACCACCCGCACCACCACCCGCATCACCACCACGCGTGGTCAGGACCCTTTCCCACCGGGGTGGACGTGGCGCAAGGGCTCGGCGTGGACACAGGTGAGAGGGGGGGGGGGGTTTGGGTGATTGTCGTCGCTGGCCCGTGGATGGATGCGGTTAATGCTTTGGCTGTGTGTGTGTGCGTGTGTGCGTCCATCTTTAAAGGGGGGGATTGGGGGTGGGGAGGGGGTTGTTGGGGGGTGCGGGGGGGAGTGTGGGGGGGAGGGGTCACGACAGCTCTCGCAGAGATGGTCCGACACGAAGGCAACTTGAGTGTCAAGTCGTGTTTACTAGTAGAGACTCAGCCCTGAGAAATGCAAGCCACGTTGGTCGAAGGGTTTCCCAAAAGTCGGAGATAAAACCAGCCGGAGAAGGATTTAGCGTGTGGCCAAGGAGGCCCCCCCCACCTCATCCTCACCCCCCACTTCACTTCTGATGACCTCATCGTAAACGTTCTGAGTTAGATTCCTGGACAGGGTTTAATTATATTATTTCGTTCTGCCACCCCACAGGTCTGCAACATCCGGACAAGAGCAAAGATCTCTTTTGGTTTTGAGTCGTGATGTCCACGGACAGGATGACGAGGACACGAACCGAGCAACCAACTGTCTAACCACTCAACCACCCACCTAACCAGCCACTCGTCCACCCATTCATCTCATCTACCTGATCACTCATACAACCAACCATTCACCCAGCCACTCAACCACCCATCCACTCAACCACCCATCCACTCAACCACCCATCCACTCAACCACCCATCCACTCAACCACCCATCCACCCACCGAATCAGCAAACCAATCGTCAACCAAACCACGCACCCAACCACAAATTCAACCAACCAACCGCTCACCCAATCAACAAATCACGCAGCCATTAACCTCTGCCATCAACCACACAAACACACACCCACGCAATCTACCTATTCACCCATCCATCCAACCAATCACCCACTCACCCAAACAGTGAGTCAACCAACTACGCATCCACCCACCCACGCAACCACTCGCACAACCAGTCAGCCCACTAACCAACCCCACCGTCACGCTTGTCAACACACGGGTATTGATGTTGCTGTCTCCCCCCCAGTTCGCCTACGGGGGACACGCGATGACGTTGCACCGGCAGGGATGGCACGTGGAGTGATGAGTGCGTGGTATGATGCGGCGAGAGAGAGAGATGAAGGCAGAGAAGGGTAGAGAGAGAAAGAGAGGGCGAGATCAACTCTGCACGAGGTTCTCGTCGTCTGCAGATGAGTCTCTCCTTGGCAGTGACATCCAGTGAGTTGATCATTATCGTTACGAGCGTCGGGACACAGGGGGGCCTTGCCCCCCGCCCCCGGTGGCCAAAGCAGCGAGTTGGCGGAGGGGGAGGGGGGCGGTGGGGGAAGGGGCCTTGATAACCACCGTGCGTTATGTTTTCAACAACAGTGTAAAAGAACAACAACGCTTATTTAAAATGCGGTTTGAATATTTTTTTTATGAAAATGCTTTCATTTACGTTCCACGTTTTTATTTAATTAGAGGGGTAACGTTTGGCTTGCGCAAATTGCGAGGCAAATCAAATATTGGGGCCCCCCTCCCCTACCTGACCGATTGATGAACCCCCCCCCCCCCCCCCGAGCTGATAATGTGGTCACTACGTCCACTGGCCCTCAGTCCATGGGTCCGAGGAGAGAGGCATCGGTCCGCTGTAAGGTCAGGGCAGTGCATGGGGTGGGGGGTGCAGGGCTCGGGGTAACTCGCACCGTGTGCCCCCCCCCCCCGACGCCTTCAAACTAAACAAGACATATGACATCTGACACCGTGACGTCGAAGCGCGGCCCACACCCCCCCCCCCGCCCCCCAAGGCGCGGGCCCGGGGCGGTCGCTCCAGATTCGCCGTACCACATCTGGGCGGCTCTTGGCGAAGCTCGTTCGCGAACACATTCAGCCGATGTCGTTTCTATACGACGGCCAATCCGTGTCCCCCCCCCCCCCCACTATTAATCTCAAATGGATCTCGCAATGATTCGCTGCTTATTGGCCACGCGTGGTAGAGCAATCGGAGGCGCGTTACAGGTTACCCGCAGCTCGTGTGGTTACCTACCACGAGGGGGGTGGGGGGGGGGGTGGTGCGACACCGGGACCCACGTTAAAGATCGCAGCAACAAAAACAAAAAGAAGCCCACTTATTGTGAACTCGACAACAGGTAGTAGTAGTAATAATAATTCGGCTCCGTCGCCCTCCTTCCACTCCACCCCGCCGCTCCCTCCAGAACCCTGGCCCCGTGAGTGGCCCCTTGACCACAACCCCGGGGGGGGGGGGGCGATGACCGCTACCCCTTAGGGCATTCCCCAACCGAGGCTCAACTCCCCCCTCCCCCCCCCCCCGGGCTGGCTCGCACACGGCCGAAAAATACACGACGCGTATCAGGAGGTGTATGTACACGTGTATATGTATCGTGGTTCCGCGCTATTGCTGGAAGATGCGTATACGGCATCTGGTTTGTGTGTGCGCGCGTGTATGTGGCGTGCAAATGTTTCAAGGGAGATGCAAACTCTAAAGTCAACCAGCTCTTTTGCCATGTGTAGTCTCACGCGCGCGCGCAAGGGTTCGAATCCGGAGTGGTTCAACCGGGGTTCTCAAGGGTAGCGAGTTGGTCGCAGCCCGGTCACCAATGATCGCACAAATGTTGTTGTGCGGTTTTTGGTTGTTGTTGTTGTTGTCTCCACCGACTTTCGCAAAAGCCTCCAGCTTGCCCGCCTTGGCCGAGCACGTGCGCAGAAGGAGCAACCGCGCTCCGTGCGTGAATACAGAAAAGGGTCACTTGACGATGTCGTTCTGTGACCTCCTCTTCCGCGGACCGTTCGCCCGTGCCTTTTTATTTGACATGGCTCGACCACCCGGGCCTGGCCACGGCCTCCGTCCATCCACCTCGTGGCGTCGCTCTGTTCAGCCGCACGAATAATACATTTGATGCACTTTGCTTATACTGCGAGACTACCGGACGGCTAACCCAATTTGTCTCTTGACCCGACGTCGATAGCAGGCATGGAACACAGCTTATGAGAATATTATTTTCAAAATATCAGTTTCAAATAAATGTACATTACTGTGTACATATTTCCAAAGTCGTGGCCACGACTTGAGCATGTTGGCACAATACCGAGAGGAAAGTGGATACACATGACGACATGTGCAGTGGACACGTACGGGGCTATCTGCCAATGGATCGCGATGATGATGATGGTGGTGGTGGTGGTGGTGATGATACATATTTCCCTCTGCTATGCACGTACACTGAACGTCTTTCGCACCGTGCGTATCCAGTCGCGCTGATCGGAGGTGCGGGAGAGGCGTTAGATGTCATGCACAGAGGTTAGGCTCGCGCGTAAACGTACAAAAAGGGTCACCATTTCTCGTGGCGCGCTTGCTTGAGATGCCTTGTCAAACTCAAGAGCGCCATAAAGATCATCGCATGTCAACCATTCCGATGCGCCCCCCCTGCTGTGCAGTCTAGCCTAGGGTCAGCGTGACACGTATTAATCTTAAAGGGTGTTTTTTTTGGCGTTGGAACGCGTAAATATGTGTCGTTTAAATCCGCCACCACCCTGCACAGCAAATTAATAAGGGTTGTCGCGTAAACAAAGCGTGACAATTAGTTACTACTTCAGCCCACCGCTGTGTTGTGAGAGTAAAGCCACAACATTTACAATGCTGTGGATGTAATTTACCAGCGAAACGTCGTACAAAAAGTGGTAAATGTTGTGCATCTACTCTCCAACACACCGGCGGACTGAACTTGCAACTAATTGGCACGTTTTATTTAGGTGACGAACCTTACTGGTTGGCTGTGTCGGGTGGTGGCGGGTTAACGACACATTTATATTTACGCGATCTAACCCCACACCCCCCCCCCCCCCCCAAAAAAAACTTGTATTCGCCTAAGGTCCCCCACGCCGCGTAGCCAGTGGCAGCTGTCCCTTCGCGGCAACGACGAGTCGAGGTATTGCATTCGTGATCCGGAAGATCGGAGCTGGTTGTCTTTTTCCCAGTCCTGCGTTATTTAACTCCCCCGTCGCGTGTACGCCTTTGGGGCATTGTGTTTGTATAAATGTTTGAACAAACAAAGTTGTGAATATTGAATAATCTCTAACCATTACGATGTTGCTCATTGCTCGTACAGTACTTGTGATGATGACGATGACAGTGAATGTTATTTTGATGATATCATGGCGGTAATTATCATTGCAATGGTAATGGATAAAGTTATTATTACAATGATGAATATTGTAATGTAAAATTATATGATGAATATTATAACGACGATGCCGAATATTGTTATGGTGATCGTGATGATGATGATGACGCCGCTTGCCATTATGAATTACTGATGTTTTGTTGAGTTCTGTTATTATATTTTTTTATTTGTATACTTTTTTTAGCCATTTGTAAAATGTGAATTTTAAATATTTCGAGAGAGCATAGGCGATCAATGTACCGAGGCTTTTTTTTGCGATATTGCAGTTAAATATGATGTTGCTTTGCTTGTTTCATGACATTATATATAAAAAAATAACAAAGTGTAATAGTAATAATAAAAAATATCACAATAAAAACGAGAACATACACGACCTTATTTATGTACCCAATAACTACTCGCCGAGTCGCCAACCCGCCGCTGCTGCTGCTGTTGCCGCCACTCCGCTGGGATGTTGGGGCCGGGTCTCAGAGTGGTTTTTCTCGTCTTGAATCAACGCCGCTCAAAAATGTACGCGCACTCGCGCAGATGGAAATGGGTAAGAAATACCTTGATTATTTTCTTTTCACGTAGAGAGACGTGGATTTTCATTATGGGAGGAGCAGGACCTGTTCACACACTCGTCGCTGTTAATGGTAGCGAGCGGGAGGGGATTCGACCTCGGGGCGTCGGGTTCGGAGCGCAGTGCCCTTACCACTGCGCCACGGCTCCCCGTTAAGACGTCAAGACAAAGATCCCCCGCACAGCCTTTAACAGACTGCTTGGGGAAAGTGTTGTTAGAGAGCACCTAATGAAGGCCGCCGGCACGGCACACGAAGGGGTGGGTATGCCAACACCACGCCCGGCCGTCTTTGTCTCCCTCGTGGCGATGTTTACGCACCGCACGGGGCACTCCGTTGAGGCTGAGTAAAAAAGACACAAGCACGCTTCTGAACGAGCAAAACGCCGAGGCGGTGTGAAGACTGTTGGGCTATAGCGCCATCTGGCGGTAGACTCTGGCAACTGCCGTCACGAATTACAGCCTCTCGTAAATCCACTGCGGATGAAGACATCCTCCTGCTCCGCGGATCGTCCGTGGGAATTGTTTGACCTCAGCACGGGTGTTGACGGTGGGCGAGGGGAGCGACCGGGGCCTGATTCGGTTCGCGCTCGCCACTGACGGTAGCCGTGGCCGGGAGTTTCAACTCTTGGGCAGGGCGATAGCCACTCATGCGCCACCGCTCTCCATCCCTCTCTCTCTCGCTATCATCAAGCTCAGTAACAATCTATCTACACCAGGGGTCGGCAACCAACATGACAAGACTTAGCAGCTTTTTTTCGAATTCGAAAGCAAAAACCTCAATATTTCAAGATCCGCAATGCAATGTGGTCATTGTGAGACGGTGGTCCCTTAATAAATAACGTCACGAAGCGGCAGTCCTTGAAGAGTCGCCTGAGGCGCCGCAGCCTCAGGTTTGCCGAAGCCTGGGCTATACAATCAATATTGTAAACTCGCGACTCTTAGACCTGGGCTATACAATCAATATTGTAAATCAGCGACTCTTAGACCTGGGCTATACAATCAATATTGTAAACTAGCGACTCTTAGACTAGGGGTGCATCTCGCAATATTCTAAACTAGTGACTCTTAGACCTGCGGTGCATCTCCCAATATTCTAAACCTGTGACTCTTAAACCTGGGGTGCATCTCCCAATATTCTAAACCAGTGACTCTTAAACCTGGGTGCATCTCCCAATATTCTAAACCAGTGACCTTTTCGACCTGGGGTGCATCTCCCAATATTCTAAACCTGTGACTCTCTTACCTGGGGTGCATCTCCCAATATTCTAAACCAGTGACTCTTAAACCTGAGGTGCATCTCCAAATATTCTAAACCAGTGACTCTTAGACCTGAGGTGCATCTCCCAATATTCTAAACCAGTGACGCTTCGACCTGGGGTGCATCTCCCAATATTCTAAACCAGTGACTCTTAAACCTGAGGTGCATCTCCAAATATTCTAAACCAGTGACTCTTAGACCTGAGGTGCATCTCCCAATATTCTAAACCAGTGACGCTTCGACCTGGGGTGCATCTCCCAATATTCTAAACCTGTGACTCTTAAACCTGCGGTGCATCTCACAATATTCTAAACCAGTGACTCTTAGACCTGAGGTGCATCTCCCAATATTCTAAACCAGTGACGCTTCGACCTGGGGCGCATCTCCCAATATTCTAAACCTGTGACTCTTAAACCTGCGGTGCATCTCCCAATATTCTAAACCAGTGACTTTTAAACCTGGGGTGCATCACGCACACCCTGGGGGTACGAGATGCCCTTTCTGGGGGTGCGAGACATGGCCAGATTTGTTTAGCAGGTAAATCATCGACACAAATTAAGCACGGGAACTTAAGTACAGCTGATTTGTTTAATCTAATCTATGTATTTATTGACGTTATTGATGTGTTAACCATTGAGAACGAGAGGTACAAGGCTGCAGTACAGGTTAAGAACCACTGGTCTCTGAAATCAATATTGACACTCATTATTGATAATCATCAGCATCGCCGATGACCAAATTATGATCATTGTGATTAATCTTGTCTACTCAGGAAAGCGTCACCGAGTCTCAAGATTCATTTCCAGGATGGTACTGCCACGGTTTCGCAGTAGGGGGCGATGCTGCTGCTGTGCGTTGATACCAGTTGAGTGATTTGCTGTCATTTTTCAACATTGGGATGGATGATTCAATACCGGTTACACTGCGGGGTTTTTAGCCATGGGAGGAAAGCGGAGAACCCTTTGAAAACCCATGCAGAACAATCTCCACTCACTCTCATTCTGCAGAATAGGGGGATAAGGGGCCGTCCATAAATGACGTCACACGATTTTGGACGGTTTTTTGTCACACGGCGTCACAAAAGTCAGACCCCCCCCCCCTCAAATATGACGTCACAAAAATATATATGCTTCAAATCGCTTTAAACTATTGCCATTGTAGTGCGTATTGTGGCGCTGCACTCTGATGTTGTAGGAGAAAACAATTATTAAAAAGTCTAATTAAGTAGAACGTGTTGTCTATTTTTATTTACAGTTGCGCATTTTGATGTGACGTCACATTTATCACCCCCCCCCCCCACCATCGTCATGCATCATCACAAATGTCTGACCCCACCCCACCCCTAGGTGCGTGACGTCATTTATGAACGGCCCCGAACATTAAAAAAAAAACTCCACTCACACTCATTCTGCAGAACAGGGGGGATAACATGCAAACACCACTCACTCTTAAACTCACTTATTCTCACTTGCAGAACAGGGGAAGAATATAGAATCTCCACTCACTCTCATCCTGCAGAACACGGGGAGAGAACGCTCCACTCACTGACACGCTCGGCGAAACGGTACGCGTCCAGTAAGAGCGGACTTCCAGCGTGTGGATTATGGGGCGACCAAAAACGAGATGGCGTGGCGTGCAGCAAGTGGGGATTGCTGGGACAGACTCCCACGAATCGCAGTGTCGTGAGAAGTAGCAGCGACGTTCGTGGGAGGCCTTCATCACCCAGCAGTGGATCGAGCGTGGCCGAAGACGACCGCTCGTGTGAGTGCGAGAGGCATCTGGCCACTGGGGCGGAGCGGTCAGCGCTACGAACCTGGCGACCCGGGTTCGATTCCCGCTCACGGCCAACAACACCCAGTGACGATTTTCTGAACCGGTCCTGGGAGGGCCTCCCCGGGGTCGACTCAGCCCTCAAAATGAGCACCTGGTGTGGTGCGTAAACATCGACCAGCGGGGAGACAAAGGCGGCCGGGCGTGATGTTGGCCAAACCCACCCCCTCCGTGTGCCGTGCCGGCCTTCATAGGCGCATGCCCCCGACATACCAGCCTGCTGCAGGCTACACGGGGGCGAATATTTGGCCTCCGAGAGGCGTTTGGGCCACATGGCAGACCGCGCCACCACGTGCTCGACTAGGGGCAACTGCAGGGACGCAAAGCGCATCCGCTGCGTAGCAAAGGGGAAGTGACGATCGTGGGTGGGGGTGGTTAGGGGAGGGGAGCATTGATTAGGGGGAGGGGAGGGGGGGGGGTCGTGGGGGAATCAGAGGGAGGGGGGTTGTGTGGGGGTGAGTGGAGAGATGTGGGAGGAGGGATGGTTTAGCAAGGCCGCTTACTCCTCTCCACACACACACATCCATGTATAGCTTGCTCGGCAAAGACTTAGCAAGGCCTTTACCATCATCACCGCCATCACCACCACCATCATCACCACCACCACCACCATCATCATCACCACCACCAACCCCGTGGTCATGCGGCGAAGAGCCGTAGAGACCGCCGCTGCCGGGAGCTTGCTGTGGCTACTCGTGGCCGCTCTGATCCGCTCCGGTGTTCCACAGAAA